ATCTTTAAATGCTGCAAACCGTTCACAGCCGAAAATAGTTCACAGCTGCAAGCTCGTTCATGACCGTAAACCCTGTTCATGGCTGTAAACCTGATATTTGAACCGCGAACAGCTTTGAACTATGAAACTTGGCTGAAAACCCGCTTTTACCATTTCAAGCAAGTCTCGGTAACATTCCTAAACTGAAAGAAAGTGTTTTCCAACACTATAACCAATGGTTTCACTAATTAAAATACAATTATGTGTTTATTTATCATTAGGAAACCATTAATACCACGTATTACAACTCGAGGTCATCTTTCCGGTTTTGCTGTTGAGCACGTGCATACAATCAACTGTGACTTCATACCCCTATGCTTTTATTATTTTTAACATTTTCAAGGGGGGAATACAAGCAAACTAGTTAATACAAGATTGTGAGGCACTACTTCAATTGTACCCTTCGTGGTGTGGGGTAAATCCTACCACAGTATAACCAGAGTCTCCTGGCGGGGAGAGCGTGAGATTTATGAAATGATCTATTCGGGATTTACAATCCCATACCTAAAATGCTAGCTACAGTTAGGCAGGCATGCCTGGGGTGACAAATATCATAACATTCTGACGCCTGAAGAACGTCGCAGAGGTCACTAGTCATATCAAGCATAGTTATACCAAACTCACAATTGTCACACCCCACAAAAGTAGGAATGGCGGAAACGTTCTGGGGCGGAGGACGTCATGTACAGTATCACAACAATGAATAGTAGTAGACAAGCAACAACATCATCCATTACATTAATAATGTAATTTTAATACAAGTGTTCTAACATGTTTAATAGGCACTAAAGTGTAAATTAAAATGAAAGATGAGTTTTGAACGAGCTCCATCTTCTCTAAACCTTGCATCGGTACCTGTCTATTGTTGACCTGAGGATATAAGTTATTTTGAAAGAGAGTATCAACTTTAAAGCTGGTGATATCATAAGTATTTTAGTGTCTTAATTTTTAAAAAAAGTATTTGTAAGTATGCGAAGCGTAAGTATGTAAAAGTTTTGAACGTCCTAGAAAACCCTATGTTTCCTACTAACAGTAGCCTTCTACCAAGGCATCTAGTATCTGTGTGTGACTCTTGTAAGAGTGTTTATTTTCCCAGATCTGACTATCATTAACCAAAAATATAGCTTTTACATTACCGTGAATCGTGTGAATGTTCACGAAGTGAATGTAATGGGAAAAATAGTATACTACTGTAGTATTGTAATAAGTAACTACTGCTATACTAACTACCTTAAACGAATTGTAATTTAAAGTACCATGTGATAGGCCTGTACCCTACTATCGACTCAATAGTAAAACGATGATGTAATACGCCGTAAGAAATGACATTTTGCACCCGTAGACTTGTAAGTCCCACTGTAGCGAGCAGCAAGGTGTAGGATAGTCAATCTAGTATAGATATATACGCAAACTCATATGCTCCCCAATTAAGGAGATTATGGATACAAAAACGGTCATGGCAGGTAGTGCCATGCCCCGCTTAGTGGCTCACATAACTGTATTAATGTATATGTAATGTATGTGCTAGTTGTATTGTGTGTTCTTTCTCTATCTAGCATGTATAGACTCATGAATGAACTGACTCATTGTATGATTCTTTGTTCTAGTAAAAGTATTAGTAACTTCCTAAACTACGCCTATTGTAGTTTACTAGTAATATGACTTGTACTTATGAACATAAATGTATACCCTTGCTACCCAAGGGTATTGAACTGACTGATAGAACTTTTATGTCTATATATGTATACATAATACATAACTAATATTTAGACGACCTTCGGATGGATAACTGATGCCCTAAAGCCACATCCCAACAAGGAAAAGGAGATAAAGCGAGCTAGCCTTCTTAAGTCCTTTAAGCATTACTTATGTAACTATACATACATAGGCATGCATTTTGACAATATAGAAGTATAAAAGAAGTTTTGTAAAACCTTTGAAAAGTTTAGTAACTAAGGAAAGATGACCTGATGTCAGTTTGTAAAACGTTTTGAAAGCAGTTTATTTGATAAGAATAGTCTAAAGTATAAGGAAACCTTTGTTTGATACACAATTGTAACAGAGTTCGAAAAGAAACATTTAGTATGTAAGACAGTTTGATAAAGAGTTTTAAACATGTATAAACGTTTAAGAAAGTCATTTGAAGAAAGTTGTTTGGTAAAACAGTTAATGTATAGTAAATCCATTTGCATGCTAGTTATTAATCACATGTGATTGATATAGCAATTAGCATGATTCAACTTGTATCCCCCCATAAAGCATTTATAAACATTTAAAAGGTTAATTAAGGGGTATGAACTCACATGCAGTGAGCGGATCGGATGGAAGTGTCGGATAAGTGCTTGGTGTCAAGTGGAGACTTAGACACACACAATGATCCTAATAACATATGAAGAAATATGTGTGTGTGTATATATATATATATATATATATATATATATATATATATAATCAGTGATTATAACACTAATTTAACATGTAAAAACATCCTAATGTGAGGAAAACACTTTGGTCAAAGTGTTAGGAGGCCATTAGGTTGCGACAAAGGAGTGCAAGGCCTCATACGGGAGTTTATAGTCAATGAACCATGTTTGTTGGATTCTACGGCCTATGGGAGTTTACTCCTAGCCGTAAACTTTCAATTGGTCACCAAAAGAGGCTTAAAACTATAAAGGCTTAAGTGGTTAAGTGCTCCAAAGCTTAAACAAGTGTTTGGGTGAGTTTAAGGTCCAAAAATGACCCTAACTTATGTTTACTGTCTAGGGACCACTTCCCCATGAGTTTACGACTGTAAAGTCATGGTAAGAAGTACCATTTCGTGAATAGAGTTCCTTAGATCAATGGTGTATGATTCTAGGCTACTATCCAAGGCTTAATAAGGTGTTTAGGGCATCAAAACACACTTTAGGGGCGTTTACGGTTTTGGGAGATCCCCAAACCGTAAACCCATATTCAAGGGGGGGGGGGGTTGGTGTTTTTCATGAGCTACACTCACCAAGGGAAGGTTCTATGCTAAATTCTAAGCATCAGGAAGGAGTTAGGAACACTTTGGCACCCAATTTAGGGTTTACGACCTAAGAAAATCTTTAGCCGTAGACTCCTTTTTCTTATGATTCTTGGGTGATTTCAATGATATCTAGACATTTAATAAGCTTTAAAACACTCTAGGGTAGAAGTAATTATAATTTAGGTCGAAAGATTGAAGATCCTTAGGAGAGAAATCGGGTTTTCTCTAGTTGAAAAAGAAAGAAATGAAGTGAAAATGGCTAAGTGCCATATATATACCCCATGGAGTTTACGGTTCAAATGCCATTGGGTCCGTAAACTCCAAACTCTTGGATTTTTTGGAACTTTAATGATGTACCATAAACCCTAGGGCGTCCTCTCTCCTGATATCTCCTAAAGTGTTAATCCTAAAATACTCAAACTTATTCTAAAAGCTTTGAAAATTTGCAGAAACTATTTCGACTTCTGATGAAGTGAAGGGTTGTACAGAATAAAATTTTTGGGTTGTCACAACAACAGTATAACTAACCTTTGTTTACGGGATTTCATTCTTCATTATTTTTAATTTAATTAATAGAAATAACATGCACTACACTAGAGGATTCCAGGGGATACAATACACGGTTTTTATTTGAAGCAATAAGACTACTATACATTACTGGTGGTAGCCAGGGTTTTCATACAGAACATATTATACATTACTGGTGGTAGCCAGGGTTTTCATACAAAACATACTATACAAACTGGTGGTAGCCAGGATTTTAATACAATACTTTTTCATACAAAACAACGTCATACAATACAGCTTGTGGTAGCCATGCATACAAACAATCAGTTTCAAATACTATTATAGAACATAGTAACAAACATTACAACCTGGTCTTAGGGTTTAAGACTACTTTTCATTACTAAAGAAAATATTGAATTTTCTTGAGAAACATACAAACATTTTTACAGATTCAATAACAGGTTTTCATTAAAAAACATTCTTATGAACTCACCAATTTAAATGTTGATACACTTTAAAAATCGCTTGTATTCTTAGGAAATCATTAGGCAGGTACACCCGCAAGCTTTTGAGAAGACGAAGTACATAGAGTCACACCTTTTACTCTTTTGTTATATTTTGCTATATACAAACTATGTATCAAACAGATGTATATACCTTATATATATATTTAATGTAATGGTTGTGTTTACTTTGATTACTATGATGCTATTGTTGAGATACTATACATGACGCCCTCCACCCCCGAACATTTCCTCCGTTTCGGTTTGGGGGTATGACATGCCTTGGCTCAAAGGATTGCAACATTTGCCAAGAAAGAGTTTCATGGTTAAAATACCTAACTTGTTCAGCCTTGCCTTGGCTCAAAGGATTACAACATTTTCCAAAAAAGAGTTGCATGGTCCAAATACCCAACTCGACACAACGGCAAGTGGTTCAGCCTTTCCTTGGATCAACGGATTGCAACCTTTTCCTAGAAAGAGTTTTATGGTTTAAATACCCAACTCAATGAAGAAGCAGGCAGTTTAGCACTACCTCGATTTAAAGTAACTGCTACTTCTGCCAAAGAAAGAACTTATATGAATCAAACAGAATAAGCAAGCAAAATATTTAGCAAATAACATACATAGCAAGATAAAGGAGAAAGTATTTTTTTTGTTGCACGCCAAAACCTGGAAAACCTAAGCCACAAAGGGCCAACAACAAAAGTAAATATTCATTCACATCCATTTCAGGGCAAAAATAAGTCTCAAAAGAAAGAAAGTTCATTCATTTACCAGCTCCTCCAACCAAGCATGTGATCTTAGTATTTATGCTAGGACTTGCTCCTCCATGATAATCCTCCGCACACAACGGGTGAAGGCCATCAATATCAAGGGTGTCCAACTTCATCATGGAAGCATAGTCACAAAAAAATGAACAAGACAATCACATCAACCATCTCCCCTTAGTAGATAGAGGTGGAACTGGCAGCACTAGGATCAAACTTTCCATTAACCACCACCTTACACAATACTTCTCTACCAGATTCCTTACCAGTAGCGAAGCACATGTTATTGATGCGTCTCACACCTTGTAAAAATTCTAGAAGCTCAATAAGTTTTTCAATAATTTTCACTATTCCATCCTTGACCAGCCAATCCAACTCACTGCCAAGGTGGGACAGCTCTGCATCAAGATCAAGGAGCAACATCTCCTTATCTAACAACTCTCTCTCTCTCTCTCTGTATGTTTCTCTCTCTCTCTCTCTCTCTCTCTCTCTCCAGACTCCCTACACGAATGTTATAGGACTCATTATGCAGGAGGGCACCATCAATATTTGAATTCACTTGAGCATAATTCTCCCCAAGGTTCATTTTCTTGCTAGCCAGCAACTCCAATTGCTGGCAAGAAGACTCCGCTAAAGATTCCATAGTAGCGACGTTCTACTGGAGACCCCTCTTATTTACACGAAGCTTGACAACCACACTTTTGATACGAATAATGCGCTTTGAACGGAAGCAAATTCCATAAATTCAATTGTTGGGTCATTGGTAAAAGCTTCCATCTCAGAAATGGTCCCCTTAGGGAAGGCATGGCACGGAAACTTAGCATCAACCTCTTGTTAGGAGAGGCAAGACTCATCAGTGAGATTCCATTTAGGAATGAAGAGATTGTTGGAAAGAATATTCTAGCCTTGAAAACCGGCAATAAAGTCATTATATTAAGATGTCTCTAAAGTAGCAAGAGACTTACTTCAATGGACCGGTGGTAGTTCTGTTGGGCTAGTCCCAATGAAACATTTGTTTATGATGCACTGCTTAGACGCCTCTGGTGATTGAATTTAGGTAAAGAAAAAAAACTCTTAAGTTTGCATGCAACCTAAATAAGATCTATGTTTTCTGTATTGAACCTATAACTAAGAACATAAAAAAACCATAAAAATCGTAGGATATTTTCAAAAATTTTGATGAGAGGGGTTAATGATTACATACCTTTTAGTTGTGATAGCAAACAACTACAATTCTTCTTTGTTGATCTCTTGGAAGCAAGTACCACAAGTGTCGTACGTCTAATGGAATCACACTTAAGCTAGCAAGAGGATAATATAAGAGAGAGGAGAGAGGAAAAACTATTTTGTTGAAGTCATTTAGAGGAAAGGGTTGGACAAAAACAAGGGCTAAAGGGTTCCTTATACGGTTGAGGAAACTTGTTGCCAAAGCTAGGGTTTAAGGGATAAGCCCTAAAATCCTTTACTTCGTGACCAAACAGCCCAATCTCCTTATCCAAAGGGCCTTGGACGAAATCTCTTAGGCTTTCCCTATAGATTTTCGTCCACCTCATTCCATGAGGTTCTAAAGCCTTCCTTTCTCAACTCTCAGTAAATAACCAAACAGTCCTTGTACTTTTAATTAATCCAATTAATTTCTATTTAATTATTAATTAAATAATATGATTTATAATTAATGTATTATTTTCCAAACACATTAATAAACCATTTATTTTAATTTATTATTCACATAATAAATTAATTTATATCTCTTCAAAAGTCATCTGGTCCAATTGCTAGGTTTGAGGGCAACCCAAAAGGACTGAGCTACAGTCAATTCAAGTATATACCAATTTTATTTATCGGCTTAGACATCTAATCCAACAGTCTCCCACTTTGTTAATTCTATAACTATAATTTCTAGTATAACTTCTAAATCGATCAGCAAATTGTAGCTTCCCAAAGCTGTTGTCGAACTCTGACCCAGTTAGTTACGTATCCTAAGATAAGTGATCATATAATCCTCTATTATTGAAAATATCATTCAAACACGAGGCATGGAATATAATCAATCTCATTATTCAAGACTTTGTTTCCCGATTTCTAATTTATAATGACATAGAACTTCTAATTGGACACATCAATTCAGTCCCGGTCGGGCCCTACACTATAAGTCAACACCATATCACTGGTCGCTGGAACAACTCCAAGATCTCCGATGAAGTTCTTCAACCAAGTTTCTTCCTTAGATGCTTCATTTGCTGCTATGTACTCTGATTCACAAGTAGAATCAACCACTATCTATTTCTTGGAAGTTTTCCAAGTAACCGCTCCTCCATTTAAAGTAAACACGCAGGCATATTAAGAACGGAATTTGTCTCTATATGTTTAAAAGCTGGCATCACTATACCCAATTACTTTCAATGTATCGCTGCAACTAAGTACTAGGACCTAGTCCTTAGTCTGTTGGGCTTTGAAGATTGCGTCTTTTAGGCTCATTTGATTATGCTATTTTGTATTCCGGTTTGGGCCTATCCAACCGTGAGCCTTTTATGTTTTGTATATAAGTTTACGCTTGCATGCATATTAGGTTAAGGTTTTTGAGATCTGAAAATAACGATTCATCTAGACGACAAAAGGTTTCTTTGATCGTTCTTGTAACCTTCCAATCCTCTACAGTTGATGTTCTTAATCGAGCTCTTCTGAGGATTTTGTTTAATCATTCGACACGTTTGATTCAATCTTGTCTCGTTCTTATTATTGTGTTTTTATCGTCTTTGTTTAATTACTTGTTCAAGATCTAATCGATCTTTATAGATTAAGAGATTGTTAAATCTCATCAATTAGTATCAGAGCAGGAGGCTGTGTAATTGATACACATCTTTTCTGTGAAAAAGATTTCCATTAGGGTTTTTCCGCAATCATCAATATTTATTGAGCCGTCATCTCTTTATTGACGTATCTTGATATTTATTACTTTGCCCTAATCTGCTTTATTACAAGTCTGATCTTTGAACAGGTTTTTACGATCATAATGGACGCGACACAATCAAACCTTATTAATATTTCCAACAGCATTGGTTCGACGACAAAGATTCCGATCTTATACACCCATGACTATGAAGTATGGGCACATCACTTCGAAGACTACGTTATTGGATCGGAGGATAATGGGTATCTCATTTGGGAAGCCATCACCAATGGACCATTTTCTCATTCTGCAACGTCCAGAATCATCAAGACACAAAAAGAGTACAATGATCTGCTAAAGGACGTGAAAGATATTGCACAAGATGAAAAGGATAAGTTCCAGTGCAATATCAAGGCATTAAGGTTGATCAGATTCGCCCTTCAGTCCGATACATTCAGATTGGTTAGCTCATGCACGACGGCAAAGGATGTTTGGGATAGACTTCGCGAACTGTATTCTACAGACGAGGATCTTGAACATTCTATTCAAACTTTGCTCCTATCTGAGTTTGGAGAATTCAGGCAAGGGGTTGAAGAAACTGTGACCCAGACGTTCGATCGCTTCAATCATCTTCTCAGCAAGATGATCAAACACGATATTGAAAGGAAGCTTATCGAACAGAAGGTTACATTCCTGAATGGTCTGAGGTCTGAATGGAGAGCAGTGGTTTCCACAGTTAAAGCCCATGAGCAGTTTAAATCATACTCTTGGCGAAACTGGTGGGTATTCTCAAGTCCCAAGAGAAGATTGTGCTGCAAGAAAAGAACGTTTTCCAGTCTCGGTTCGTTGGCCCTCCTATCTAAAAGTAAAGCTGCGATGGAGGATGAAGATCTCAACCTGGAGAATATGATCTCACGTCTGAGGATTATGCCATGATGGTGTCCAATCCCAAAAGGTTCATAAAGAAGAAATTCCCCAGCAACAAAAACCGAAGCTGGCAGGGGAGTTACAGCTCTGAAAAAGTGATTAATGAACCGAAAGCTGAGGAGCACAAAAGGAACCGAAGGTGGATGGCGATTCTGGAGTAAGCTGTTTCTACTGTGGTGGGAAGAATCACTATGCTAAGGACTGTGTCCTTAAGAAGATGGCTGAAAAAGATGATGGGAATGACGAGGAAGCCGTGTTGCAGAAAAGACTGGATGAGTTGAGAAAGAAGAAGTCTGCCATTAACCCTTCTATTAATGCTCTTATTGTGCAGGGTTCTGTTCTAGGTGATGAGTTCGGTAGCACGGAAGTTTGGTCTACCGACTCAGAAGACGAGGAAGTGAGGCAGCCTACTCATGGAAAGGCCTACGTGACTAAGGAAGAAAGTAGTGGTGGAAAGTGCTTCATGGTAACTGACGTATCTCAAATGAGGGGATATAACACCGATGGAGGAAGTGATGGACCGAAGGCAAAGGAGGATATGTGCTTTACGGCCAAACCGCTCAGCCAGCAGTTCAATGAGCTCGATGAACTGATAAAGAAGGTACAATCTGTTTTTATTTCATGCAAAGTACCATCATCCTCTTATGAGAAAGAACTAAAAAACGTCAATACAAGAATATCTCATCTAGATAGTAGCTTAACTCAAACTCGGGTCACAAATTCTAACCTAACTGATCAATTGAGTAGGGCGGCGTCGGAGAATGTGGATAGAGTTAAAGGAGTCGGAATTAGTCAAAGTTAAAGATGAAAACATTTATTTACAAAGAGACAATTTGAAATTGTTAAAACAATGAAATGTTTTTTGTTTAATTGCTAAACGTCTGTATTCTAATATTACTCAGCTTCACTTGGATTGCGAAATAGGACAAAGGATTCACCGCATGATTTTGCCCTTCCTAGAGTTTAAGGAAGATGAAATCGATGCTGAAGCCTATAATTGTGAGAGTGTGATATCGTCTGATGATATCAATCCCACCTACATGTATGGACTGGACAAAATTGAATCCTTCATTAAATCCAAAGACCACAAAGACATGCTTAAAAATCTTTTGGATGAAAATGACAAACTTAAACTGAGAACCGAAACCATGCAAAAATTTGACTCTTTAAACGCCAACGTAAGCTCAGAAAACAAAATTGATGTTGAAAATGCATCTGAGCTTAACGAGGACGATAACATGAGCGAAATTTCTGTAGAGGACACGGTTGACTGCTCAGAATTTGTTAAAACCGAACCTGAAAATCACAAGAATCTAATTTCTGAAAATTCAGTGGAGTTCGCTCGGTTGTCCCATCAAAAGTCCCCAAACTTAGTTGAGAAAGCTGTTGTGTATCAAAAGGTCAGGACCACTCCAAATCAAGTTTACAAGGTGACAGGAGTAACTGAAATCAAAGCTGAACTTGTAGCCATTGTAACGAAGACAATGCTGATGGCTGTGATGAGTACTTCTGGGAAGCTCCAATTGATAATGCAGACGAAACCATTGGTTTATCTGAAAGAACTTCCTGGAAGAGCAAAGGAAGATACATACCTGAGCCCTTGAATAAACCGAACAACTTCGATGAGCCGAGCACCAGTGGTACAAAAGATATTCCTCAAAAGAATGATCACTCGGCAAAAGAAGACGTTCCCTCTGCTTCCTCAGCTCAAAGTAAAACTCCTACAGTTCAAAAGGAACTTGCCAGGGAGACACCGAATACGAAAGAAAATGTTCATCATCAACCTTCTCAGATGAGGAACATAAAGAGAGAAAGAAACAACAGAT